TATATATAATTAAAATATTAACAATTACAAACTCATAAATAAGAATTCACATATATAAATTTATTAACTAAAATAATTTATTAAGTCATGCTACACATTATTTTTTTCATTTTTATTCTTCTACTCATTCTCAACCACACATTTTTCAATAAAATAATATTTTCTATCACATCAATAACTTTTTTTCATTTTTAACCACACATTCTCCATCAATCTACTATTCAATAATACATTCTTTCAAAAAAACGTGTCTCAAACACACTTAAAATATAAACATATTTCTTTTTAATTTAAATAAAAATTAGCTATACAAAAGAATAATCTAATGAGCATCAATATTCATCTTATGCTAAGCATCGATGGTTTATTCTATATATAATATGTCGAATTATATTCTTTTTGTTTACTTTTAAACAAATTAAATTACAACTATTTAGGGAAAAATCATCTTCTTTGCAATGGCATTTTAAGTATATAAATCTCATTTTTAGGTGATATATGGCTCAAAAAGTTGTGATGTATGTCTAATACGTAAATTTAGAAATATGAAAGGTGAGTGATATTTTTGAAACGTTTTAATATTGTAATTTGAGTGAAATTTTAAAGAGGGCCTAATGTAAGACACTGAACTGCGACTAAGCCCTTGTTTGGGCTCCATTAATCTGAAAATTTAATTTTCTCTTTATTCTTCTTAACTGTATATTCTCCAATAAAATAATATTATACGTATACTTAAAAAATTACAGTCTATGCGGCATTAAATGATAGGTTAAATGAAAGATGAAATTAAATGACTTATTTAATTTCACCTATCATTTAATGCCATATAAACGTCACGTAGACTGTATTTTCATCTCTAGTGAGGATAAATAGCATTACTCTAAAAAAATTCCTTTTTTTTAAAACGCAGTTTTCAAAAAATTACTATTGCAAAATACATTTTTTCTTACAAATCTAATTATAATGGAAGGGGCCCACCCACTTTTTTGAATCATATCCTTTCACGCGTCTGCCGAACAAACCGCGTCACTGAATTTTCTTTCTACCTTCGGTGAATGAGAAATATTGGCTCAACTTACAATTTTGTTAGGTACATGATGTCTCTCTTTCTTATTTTATTAACTCAAGAAACAATGTACATGACAATTCACAAATTTAGTAGTTATTAGAAGAATAAATTTTATGTAGCACCCAGAACAAAATTCAGTTTTAAGTCTAGCAAATACTATGAACTCACTTGAATAA